GGAGTAACCTTGCGGAGTTTTTTTGTGTCACTTATGTAAACTATCATATCATCTGCAAATAATGAAAATTTGACTTCTTCTTTTCCTATTTGTATCCCCTTTATCTCCTTTTGTTGTCTTATTGCTGTAGCTAGAACTTCAAGTACAATATTGAAGAGATATGGAGAGAGTGGACAGCCTTGTCTTGTTCCTGATTTTAGAGGAATTGCTTTGAGTTTCTCTCCATTTAGTTTGATGTTAGCTGTTGGTTTACTGTATATTGCTTTTATTATATTCAGGTACGTTCCTGTTATCCCTGATCTCTCTAGGACCTTTATCATGAAGGGGTGCTGGATTTTGTCAAAGGCTTTTTCAGCATCTAGTGAGATGATCATGTGGTTTTTCTTTCGCAGATTGTTAATATGGTGGATTACATTGATAGATTTTCTAATGTTGAACCATCCCTGCATTCCTGGAATGAAGCCTACTTGATCATGGTGGATGATTTTTCTGATGTGTTCTTGAATCCGGTTTGCAAGTATTTTATTGAGTATTTTTGCATCAATGTTCATGAGGGAAATTGGTCTATAGTTCTCTTTCTTAGTTGTGTCTTTGTGTGGCTTGGGTATCAAGGTAATTGTAGCCTCGTAGAAAGAGTTTGGCAGTGAGCCTCCTGCTTCTATAGTGTGGAATACTTTGACGAGTATTGAAATGAGCTCTTCTTTGAATTTCTGGTAGAATTCTGCACTGAAGCCATCTGGGCCTGGGCTTTTTTTGTTTGGGAGACTTTTGATGACTGCTTCTATTTCATTAGTGGTTATAGGTCTGTTTAGATTATTTATCTGTTCTTGATTTAGTTTTGGCAAGTGATATCTATCCAGGAAATTGTCCATTTCCTTTAAATTTTCAAATTTTGTGGAGTACAGATTTTCAAAGTATGCCCTGATGATTCTCTTGATTTCCTCAGAGTCCGTTGTTATGTCCCCTTTCTCATCCCTGATTTTGTTAATTAGCATGTTCTCTCTCTGTCTTTTGGTTAGTTTGGACAGAGGTTTGTCTATTTTGTTGATTTTCTCAAAGAACCAACTCTTTGTTTCATTGATTCTTCTCAATGTTTTCCTGGTTTCTACTTGATTGATTTCAGCCCTCAATTTGATTATTTCCTGGCGTCTGCTCCTCCTGGGGGAGTTTGCTTCTTTTTGTTCTAGAACATTCAGCTGTGCTATTAATTCTCTAGTATGACTGTTCTCCAGTTTTTTCATGTGGGCACTTAGTGCTATAAACTTTCCTCTCAGCACTGCTTTCAAAGTGTCCCATAAGTTTGTGTATGTTGTGTCTTCATTCTCATTGAAATCGAGGAAGTCTTTAATTTCTTTTTTTATTTGTTCCTTTACCCAGGGATGGTGCAATTGTGCATTGTTCAATCTCCATGAGTTTGTAGGGTTTCTGCGATTTGTGTTATTGTTGAATTCTAATGTTAATGCATGGTGGTCTGATAAGATGCAGGGGTTATTCCAATTTTTTTGTATCTGTGGAGATTTGCTATGTTTCCTATTATGTGGTCAATTTTAGAGAAGGTTCCATGTGGTGCCGAGAAGAAGGTATATCCCTTTGTATTTGGGTGGAATGTTCTATAGATGTCTGTTAAACCCAGTTGGGTCATAACTTCTATTAATTCTTTTGTTTCTTTGTTAAGTTTCTGTCTGGAGGTCCTATCTAGCGGTGAGAGCGGAGTGTTGAAGTCTCCTACTATTAGTGTGTGAGATTTTATGTGCATTTTGAGCTTTAGTAATGTTTCTTTCACGAATGTAGGTGCCTTTGTATTTGGGGCGTAGATATTTAAAATCGAGACTTCGTCTTGATGTATTTTTCCTTTGATGAATATGAAGTGCCCTTCTTCATCTCTTTTGATTGATTTTAATTTGAAGCCTAATTTGTTAGATATTAGGATTGCTACGCCCGCTTGTTTCTTGGGGCCGTTTGATTGGAAGATCTTTTCCCAGCCCTTTACTCTGAGATAACGTCTGTCTTTGGTGTTGAGATGTGTTTCTTGTATGCAGCAGAAGGAAGGGTTCTGTCTTCGTATCCATTCTGCTAGTCTGTGTCTTTTTATAGGTAAGTTGAGGCCATTGACATTGAGGGATATTAATGACCATTGATTGGTGATCCTTGTTTGTGCTTGATTTATTGTTAGTGAAGTTATTTTGTGTAGTTTCTCCTCCCTTTTTCTTTTAGTGTTTTGTAAAGTATGATTCTATATTGCCTGTGTCTTTGTGAATGTAGTTATCTTCCTTGGCTCTAGGTTTTCCTTCTAGCATTTTCTGTAGAGCTGGATTCATGGATACGTATTGTTTAAATCTGGCTTTGTCATGGAATATTTTGTTTTCTCCATCTATGGTAATTGAGAGCTTTGCTGGATATAGTAGTCTGGGCTGGCATCCTTGTTCCCTTAGCGTTTGTAGGACATCTGACCAGGATCTTCTGGCTTTCATCGTTTCCATTGAGAAGTCAGGTGTAATTCGGATAGGTCTGCCTTTATATGTTACTTGGCCTTTTTCTTTAGCTGCTCTTAATATTTTCTCTTTGCTCTGTAGGTTTGATGTTTTGATTATTATATGGCGAGGTGACTTCTTTTTCTGGTCAAGCCTATTTGGTGTTCTGTAAGATTCTTGTACTTTCATAGGCATATCTTTCTTTAGGTTAGGGAAGTTTTCTTCTATGATTTTGTTGAATATGTTTTCTGTACCTTTAAGTTGAAGTTCTTCACCTTCTTCTATACCTATTATTCTCAGGTTTGGCTTCTTCACGGTGTCCCATATTTCCTGAATATTTTGTGTTAAGGATTTGTTGGTTTTGAGATTTTCTTTGGTTGACGATGCTATGTCCTCTAATGAGTCTTCAACACCTGAGATTCTCTCTTCTATCTCTTGTATTCTATTGGTGATGCTTGCATCTGTAATTCCAGACCGTTTACCGAGCTTTTCTATTTCCAGCATCCCTTCATTCTGTGTTTTCTTTATCGTTTCTATTTCAGCTTTCAATCCTTCAACTGTTTGAGCTGTTTCCTTAATTTTCTTGGTTGTTTTTTCTTGGTGCTCTTTAGATTCTTTGAGAGATTTGTTTATTTCTTGAATTTTTCCCCCATTTCATGGATTTTTTTGTTTGTTTTTTCTTCTATTTCTTTAAGGGATTTCCTCGTTTCTTCTTTGAGGCTCTCCATCATCTTCATGAAATAATTTTTAAGGTCTGTCTCCTCTTCTTCATCTATGTAGTGCTTTTCAGGTCTTGCTGGTGTTGGATCCCTGGATTCTGGTGGGGTCATGTTGGTGTTTCTATTGCTGAGTGATCTCTTATTCTGTCTTCTTCCCATCTCTTCTTCCAGTGGGTGCTGGTGGGGGCTTTCTGTCTCCACTGGTCTCCTTCCTTACTGCAGCTGAAGCTGAAGCTGGCCTCGCTGGGGTTGGGGTCTTGGAGGGGCTGATCTCTTTTCTGAAGCTGGGCTCGCTGGGTTGGGGTCTTGGAGGGGCTGATCTCTTTCCTGTGTGGGCGGCTCTTCTGAAGCTGGGCTCGCTGGGTTGGAGTCTTGGAGGGGCTGATCTCTTTCCTGTGTGGGCGGCTCTTCTGGAAGCCGGGAGCGGCCCCAAAGATGGAGGGGGATGGGTGATGGGCGGGTGGTCCCAGCCAGAGACCCAATCTCACCTGAAGCTGGGCTCGCTGGGTTGGGGTCTTGGAGGAGCCTGTGTGGGCGGTTCTTCTGGAAGCTGGGAGCGGCCCCGAAGATGGGGGGGATGGGTGATGGGCGGGTGGTCCCAGCCGGGGACCCAATCTCACCTGAAGCTGGGCTCGCTGGGTTGGGGTCTTGGAGGGGCTGATCTCTTTCCTGTGTGGGCGGCTCTTCTGGAAGCTGGGAGCGGCCCCGAAGATGGAGGGGGATGGGTGATGGGCGGGTGGTCCCAGCCGGGGACCCAATCTCACCTGAAGCTGGGCTCACTGGGTTGGGGTCTTGGAGGGGCTGATCTCTTTCCTGTGTGGGAGGCTCTTCTATAAGCCGGGAGCGGCCCCGAAGATGGGGGGGATGGGTGATGGGCGGGTGGTCCCAGCCGGGGACCCAATCTCACCTCGAATTCATTGGTTTTGATCACACACACACACACACACACACACACACACACACACACACACACTATGCCTCTCTAACAGTTTTCGTGAGGATTTAAAGACTGTAGTACTGAAAGATTAAGAATCCAGTTAAAAAACTGTTGAGATAATCCAGGTGTTTATAAGACATCAGTCAACAGATGTTCTGGGATCATATACAGGTGACCTTCCTGTATGAATTCACAATAAATGAAATTTCTTTTTTTTTAATTTTTTTTGGTTTTTCAAGACAGGGCTTCTCTGTAGCTTTGGAGACTGTCCTGGAGCTCACTTTGTAGACCAGGCTAGCCTCGAACTCACAGAGATCCTCCTGCCTCTGCCTCCCGAGTGCTGGGATTAAAGGCGTGCGCCACCAACGCCCGGCTTAAATGAAATTTCTTAGCAATTAGTAATGTGTATCCAAGGATTGTAACAAATATAGAACTTATGACACCATATAATCTGGGTGGAATTTGTTCTCACACTCTCTTCATGAGTGGATAACTCCCTTGAGCATCAAAGTCAGAACAAATCTTGCATTATCTAATGGAACTGCTCTTGTTGACCATATTTGAACTCTCTTCTCAGTGATGACTTTATATATTAGCTTATACAAAATGATCTTTGAACAATATGATTTTTTTTAAAGTAGCTTCCCAGATACTGCTCTGAAGGGTGATTAGTCAGTCTAAAATTGCATGTATTAAGGAGGCAGGATCATCTGATAAAATTCTTCATAGTGGCTAATATGTCAAATGAGTTAGCTAGGCTCTCTCTTTAAGAGTAAATTTAAAGTAGACCACTTGCAAACTTTCCTTTAATTATTTTATTTTAAGACAGATCATATTTTCTCTGCTAAAAGTGCGAACACCTACAATAGGGAATTCTACTCTTTACAAACACAAAGAAGAAAGCAACACATGTTGTCAAATCATATTAGACAGAAGGACAGTTTCTTTGAGCAGGTGATAAATATATATGGATGAGTATCTTCTTAATTAGTCCTCTGAAGGTTTTTAGTATTCCAGTAGAAAAGTGATGGTCGAGTTTCTGGTCTTATGAGAGGTGGTAGAAGTCTTCTCGTTGTCCAGTGCTGAACCAGGTAGGAGTTCTTCACTGCTCTCTGTCTATCCCTGGGATGCAATGAAATCCTTATAACACGTACAGGAATTACCTCTACAAGCATTGCATTAGCATGTGAAAAGATGTTCTGAAAATGTGTTCTGCATCTCACAAACTCTGTTAATGCACATTTCTCAGTTTTTGATTGTTGTATATCCCAATAAACTGATCATTAAAGTCAGTAGTTAACCCTGTAGCTTCCTATAGCATGCTTTTAAACTCTAGAAGTTTGACTGTAGGTTTTACTCCTTTATGTATCTAACACAATTCATAAAATATAACAAACATGCCAACCATACATTAACAAACATTTCATATCCTTGTTTACTAAGTTTGTCATTTCTGAGTCTATTTTATTGATCATAAATGGACAAACCATAGTCATATGTACGTAGTGATGTCATTTTCATTAGAACATGCACAGAACATATACATAACCTCAAATAATTATCATGTGAAATTTACTTTCTTGGTGACTTTGAAATAAAAATATCTTTACCATATTCACGAAATAATGAAATATATCTCGAAACTGTTTTATCTCCTGTATGACTCAAAGTTTGTATTCTTTCAGTGTCATTACCTTCTACCCTCCATGCTCTGATTCCAGCAGCCACCATTCTCTATCCTTCTTGGAGTTCCCTTGTCTTTAGATTGCTCTTACCAATGAAAATGTCTGATATTTCTATACCAAATATGTTACACTCAACATAATATTTCAATTCTAGTGTATTGCAAATTAAGAGTTTTTAAAAAGGTTGAATTGTGTTCTATTTTGAATCTATGCTATATTTTGTTACCCATGCCTCTATTGGAGGATACATGCATAACTTCTATAACTTGAACATTCATTTATTTATTTTTATGTTTATTGGTGTTTTGTCTGCATGGATGTCTGTTTGAGGATATCAGATCCTCTGTAACTGGATAGGTGTGAGATGCCATGTGGGTTCTCTGGATGAGTAGCCAGTGCTCTTACTCCAATGAGCCATCTCTTCAGTCCTCCTTAAAATTTTTACTCCTTTCTTTCTACCTTCTTTCCTTCCTCTTCCTTCCTTCCTTCCTTCTTCACCTCCTCCATACCTCTCTCTCCCTCCTTTCTATCCTTTTCTTATTCCTCTCCTATCCTCCCTTCATTCCTTCCTTTCATCCTGTCCCTCCTTTATTCTTCCTTCCTTGTATTAAATGATTTTGCTTTCATATCCATGAGGTTTTTAGATTGCATATATCTGTACCTGTGGAGTATAAAACAGGACATTGAATTGTCTGAAACTGAAATTATAGTGGTTCTGAACCACCATGTAGGTTCTGGTTGATCTGGTCCTGTGAGAAGAGCACCCAGTTCTCTTAACCACTGTGCCACTTTCCCAGAAGCATAGAAAAATCTCTCCTTGAACTTTCTGTACCTTGAACCTCTAACCTCTGACCATCAGGCCTCAAATTCCCAAGGCTGGGACTGTGGTATGTACTATCACTACTGGTTTATGATGTCCTGAAGATAAAATACACGACTTCATGCATTCTAGGCAAGTCCTCTACCAAATCTGAGTTTCATACATTTTTCCTTAATGCTTGCACTAATTTTCATATAGGGCATACAAATGACTCTGTGCTTATTGACCAGAATCAGTTGTATTTCTTTGCTTTTTGTAGGTTGTGTACTATTTGAACAGATATAATTGTTCTATGAAACTTCCTGGGCTTCACTTTTAAGTTCATTGTGTTTAGTAGGACTCTGTTCACTTAGATCCTTGGGATTTTTATTGACATGATTGTAGCAGCCTTTCATTGCTGTAACACGGGTGTACTATGAAGGCAATACACTAAGTATTCTATTTGAAATCTGGGGAAATACAAGTTATTTTATTTTAAAAAGTAAGAAGACAGTCTTTACTTAGCACCATGAAAACCTTCAAGTTTCCTTCTAGTTCTTAGTGTTTCATATGATGCAACTTTTCAACCTCTGGTTGGCTCCTTGCAGACCCATGATAAGTTACACCTCTTTTACCTGATGAGAGCACCTTAGATTTTCAGTAGTTTCTCTCTGTGTGATTATTATCTTCTGCTTTTATTCATGAAAAACTTAAGCCCCCTGGTTCTATCTCACATGAGTGCACTTGGGGGGATTGCCAGCTTTATCAAATTTAACCTTTTATGGTATAGCCTGTAAATTCTTTCCAGTGATAAACTGAAATGCACACAAATCTGATCTTTTTGTTCCTGTTACGTTTTTAGTAATATTACGTGTGTGTGTGTGTCTGTGTGTGTGTGTATCTCCCTCTCCTGCCCCCTCTCTCTACCCCCATCACAATTCCAACTTCTAGACTTCCATAATAAAAGAGGAGAAGGATCTTGGGACCCTGAGTTAGGCAAAGAATTCTTACATATAGTACTGAAGGCATGATTCCTCAAAGAAAACAGAGGGAAGTGGTTTCACTGTATTAAAACATTTGGCTCTCTGAAAGAATCCACTTACAAATTTAAAAGTTAAAGCACAAATCTGAAGAAATCATATATATAACAATGGTTTGTACCCAGGAAGTCAATACATTTCAGACTTCAGTAGCCAGAAAATAAAATACCCAATAAAATTTTGAAAGAAAAAAGCAAGCAAAACGTTGCAGTGAAGATGCATAGATGGCAAATAAGCCTAAGTTGTGATGTTAAACAGCATAACCATTAAAGAAAGGGCAGATAAAAACCACAATGAGGTATTTTCTGCATAGCCACAGGTGTAATTAATATAAAGAAATGGTCCAACTAACCCAACTGGTAAGACTGAGTGTGAAAAGGACTTAGCAAATCAGTTCTAATTCAGTTTGATGGGATACAAGATCATGAAACCTCTTCACATTTGCCAAAGGCATAAAGTTTTGTTCACAGGAAACTCACAATTGAATGCCTCTTTTCATCTTCATTTCTAGTGTTCTTGCTCTGGTGTCCTTCAACTGGTGAATAGATAAGTATCCCAGGCTGTAACTGTACAACTGAAGACAGTGAATATGGAGAGCTTGTGACGTACAAAACAGGGGAGAAGACTGAAGCAGTGGTAAATATTGATGAGGACACCTTTAAGTTAGTCTCAAAAACAAAACAATATAAAACCAACAAAACCAAAAGGAACAAGCACCTCAGAGATTCGAGGATACAGGAGTCTGAAAAGGAGGCTTCTTTTAATGCAAAAGGATGAATTATTCCTTACTTCCCTGGCCCTCCATGTATATCAGAGCATTCATTAAAGAAAATTCTCACTAAGGTATGTGAGGGCTCTAAAGTACAGTAAGATTGTACCCGAAGAACAACCAAACAAAAAGAATAAAACAAAAAGGGGAAAAGTGATGAATATAAATTCCCTTTAGAAAAAACATTTTCCTGTAAAAAGAGGAATGTTGTCTTATGAGATAACGAAGATGTAGAGTAGTTGGTAAATAGGTGATTTTTATCAAATATATAAATGTATTTTAGGTTTGTGAAGAGAATCAAGAAATGGAATCTTAGGGTCTCAATTGCTATGAAGAGGCACCATAGCTATAGTAACTTTTATAAAGGAAAACATTTTTAATTTGGATGGTTTTACACTCTCAGAGGTGTAATTCATTTTCACCATGGCAGGAAACATGGTGGCATGCTGGCAGGCATGGTCTTGGGGAAGGAGCTGAGAATTCTACATCTTGATCCATAGGCAACAGGAAGTGAATTGTATTGCTGGGCATAGCTTGAGCATAGGAGACTTCAAAGCCCACCCCTATAGTGATACACTTCCTCCATTAGTCCACACCTACTCCACCAAATCCATACTTCATAATAATGCCACTTCCTATGGGGATGCATTTTTTCAAACCATTACAGAAAGTTTAATATTTTTATTCATAAATTCAGGATGAAATCCCTTTTTCGGTAAAGCTTAAAATAAATATGCAACTTTTAACTTTAGAAAAAAATGGAACAAGGAAGAAAGAGTCAGTAAAGAATAAGAGAAACACTGCACAAAAAGAAATAAGACATACAACTGTGGTAAACATAATATCTGTCTATCTAGATTTTTATCTATCTAGAAATACTTGAAAATAAAACTAAACATTTGAAATTATGCAAACAAACTCAATATAAATATTGTTAAGATATATTTGAAGGAAAACCAAAAATGATATGTCAATGATGAGAAATATGTCTAAGTTATATCAAGGTTCAAATAATTAAGATATGTGAAATATAAGGCCTATTCACAAAATATTAAAAAGTAATATTTAACAATATTAAATTTATATGATATGATACTTATCCACATTATATACTCAAATTGAATTAAATGTATTCCTTTTATATTAAAAGCAAAATAAACAAATTTATATAGAAGAATTAAACAGCAATTTCACTACATTGATCCAATAATAAAATGAATTATATTGAGGCTAGTTTAGTACTTGCAGTGTGTCTTAGTTACTGTTCTAATGCTATGAAGAGACACCATGACCATGAAACTCTTAGGAAGAAACCACCTAATTTTGGGCTCATGGTTGCAGAGGATAGTAGAGTCCATGAACTTTGTGTGGGAGAGTTGGGAATAAGCTGATAGGTTTGGTCCTGGAGCAGTAGACAAGAGCTTTACTTCATGGTCATTAGGCAGCAGGCAGACAGACAACTGGGCCTGACATGGCTTTTTGAAACCTTAAAGTCACCACCAGTAACACCCCTCTTCCAACAAGGCTATACGCCCTTATCCTTCCAAAAACATTTCCAAAAGCTGGTAACCAGTTGTTCAAATATATGAACCTATTGGAGCCATTTTCATTCAAACTATCACTCAGTATATAGTAATTCTAACAAATATAAGATAAGTGATTAATAAAAACATTGTTAGACAGCTAACCTGACCAAGTGAGAGGACATGGACCCCAGTTGCATAAAGTTGGGAAAGCAGCATTGGACTGAACCAAGCCTTCTGAATGAGGTTGTCAGTTAGAACTGGGCAATCTATAGAATCTCTGACAGTGCAACCAGTATTTATCCCTAGTGCACAAATGGACTTTGGGAGTACATTCTCCATGGAGGGATACTCTCTCAGGACAGATACACAAAATAGGGACTAGGCCCACCCTGAAATCTTTGACAGACTTTGATGATCCCCCATGGATGGCCTAATCCTCACTGGGGAGGAGATGGGGGGGGTCAGTGGGGAAGATGGGAGGATAGGAGGGAGAGGGAACTGGGATATGTAAGATTGTTTCTAAACTAAATTAAAAAAAAGAAATATTCTTATTTTAGGATACTAAAGTTTTCATTTTAAGTAGTATATAATTAAAAGTAACATAGCAGCAATTAGACTAACCTTAAAACTAAAATAATTCATAGGATACATACTGCAATTACAGAAGGCATTACAAGAATACTTCAGTATAAGTTGTTATATTTCAATATTAAAGAACAAAATTCTAATTTCAAGTGTCCAACTTTAAACACAAGTACACAACAACACTAGCAATACTACAATATATTATGCAATACTATATATATGGTGATGAATTTTAGAAGGAATGGGGGCATAGGAGGGAGGGTTAGTGGGGAAGAGAGGAGTGTCATGATTTAAATGCAGTCCTCACATGTGGTTTTCTTAAAAAATTAAAAGAATATTCTGGGTGACATAGATTTGATGTCATTATTTATCACCACCCTTGTGTCACTATGCATAATGATAAGGGTCATTTCAGTAAAAACATCAAGTGTCTAGTTTGTAGATTTGCAGATTGATTTTGGTCTTCTGGCACTGTTTGGACAAAAGTGTCTAGGCCAATAGGCCTAAACAGTATATGTACCTCCAGAGTCCCCAACAACCAACTGGTCATTTGGACAGGTCAAATTATTTCAATGATGTCACTCAGCTGTTGAGTAATTTATTCTTCCTCGTTTTCTCACCAGCATGTAGTGGTATTGCCCTAGAACTATATAATATGAGGAATGAGGATGAGTAAAACTGGAGCAGAAAAAATAATGAAAAGACATGTATATTCTCACTTAAAATGATATCTGTGAAGATTCAAAGTTCAATATTAATGAGTAAGAAGACGTAACTGCAGTGAGTTGAGAGATTAAAAGGGTAGCAAATACATGTGATCAATTATTTCATCTAAGTATATTTGTAATATTTAGCAATTTTGAACATTTTTCTAAGAAACTAATATTTTATCAAATCTGTCTCACTATAGAATAGAAAGCTGAACAATCCTAAAATTATTTTAAAAAAAAGATCAGTGTTTGCGAAAAAAAGAGAAAACATCAGACAGAATGCTTTATGGCAGATTCTATCAAACCCTGAAGGAACAAGTAAATCAAATGCTACAAAATGAATACAGACGTGAAAAGGTGGAATCTCTTTACATCACAAGCTTTAAAGTTCACACACCCCTGATTACAAAACCACATGAAATGTGAGGTTAAAAACTCTGTTAGCCAGTGCTGCTCATGAAAACTAATGCGAACACACTAAATAAAGTCTGCATAAGAAGGACCTGTAAGCCGGGCGTTGGTGGCACAAGCCTTTAATGCCAGCACTCGGGAGGCAGAGGCAGGCGGATCTCTGTGAGTTAGAGGCCGGGCTGGACTGACAGCCTCCAAAACAATAGAGAGAAACCCTGTATCGTAAAACAAAACAAAAAAAAAAAAAAAAAAAGATTTTTCTCGATAATACAGTTTTGAAAGTTTACATTTTAGACAACTGAGATTTTTAATTCTTAAAAGATTTATTTCTTTCTTATTTTATGTGTACTAATACTTGCCTGCATGTATGCATGTGCACTGTGTGTATATCTGGTGCCTGCAGAGGCCAAAAAAGGTTGCTGAGTCCCCTGGATCTGGAAATGCAAATGGTTATAAATGGTCCAAATCCTAATCTTCTTTAAGAACAGGACATCCTCTTAACAGCTGAACCCTCTCCCCAAAACCTGGATGCTTGATCAGTTTTTCTTTTGTTCTTTTTTAAATGTTTCAATTATCCTACATGAATATCATATGATGTTTGAATCAAATCTATCCACCATTTTATCCTCCCTTCCTCCAGCCCTCTCCTTCTGTCCCCCCTTTCCCCTCTCTCCCTTCCTTCCTCCCTCCCTCCCTCTTTTTTCCCCTCTCCCTGAGTTCTTTAAGTGCTACAACTGGATCATGAATATCCTCTTTATGCCCAGTTGCCTTCCTTTTATATGAAGTTTGTTGAAATAAGTCATGATATTAACGTGCAAAAACATTGGAACTAGCAGTTTAGAAACAGCATTAGATAAAATTAAATATCTATTAATGATGAGAAAATATTAGTAAAATTAAAGAGAATTAAAAAAAATCTCCCTTAACATGGTGAATGGTACATTTAAATCCATAATAAAATAACTCTCAATGGAAAATATTTAAGGCAATTTCACTTGAGAGTACACGAACATCACATATTTGCCACATTTCTAGCTAATGTTGACAAGCCTATCAAGGCTTGTAAGACAAACTACACCTACAAATTAATTCATTAATTTATAAGTTAAAGAATTGAAAAGACATGCAATGAAATTATCAAATTTGTATGTATTTAACCTAGGTAACAAAACAAAACCAACATATAGATACCTAATACAATGCAAAAAATAATTTTAAGCTGGAACAAAGAGAGGGTGGGCAAGAGATATACTTGAAAGCAAACACAATCATGGTTACTTTTAATTTATCTATAGGAGGACTTACTGTAAATGTATTAAAGAAATGCCAATACACTGCTGAACAAGCCAGTGGTAATGAATAAAAAAAAATCAAATACAAAAAACGCATCAGTTGTATCTCTCAAGTAATTAATAATCAGTGCAATAACAAACAAAATGCCCTGGAATTATTGCTGAATTGTTAAATTTAAACTAATATTTATGGAACACCACAGATGAAAATTAGCAGATATTTCTAAAGAATATAATGAGAGGCCTTGCCATATCACTCTTCAAAATTATTGTTATGCTCATGGTAATTTGTATTGCTCTAACAATGAACAGTTCGATACATATGAAACATGAAAATATATTTGAAATAGCCAAAGCAATGAGCTAGTATTGACTGTAACCAATATCCTTGGCTTCTTGATTCTTAGAAAGCTTTTATAACCAATGTGAAAGATTATATGCAAGTACATATGTAGAGAAAATAAATGCTATTTTTGAAAATATGTAGGTCAATTATTCATCTGAAAACATTAATTAACAGAATTGTAAGACATAGAAGAGATTTCCTAAAAGTTAAATTTTAATAAATGCATCTTTAGTTTATTAATTTAGGTTTTAATTTCTTAGATAACATGTCATGTAAATTTTAGCTGGTAATTTAAAATATTCTGATGAGAACATTTTAGGGATTCCTTTTCTGGAAAAAGGAAAGCCACTATTATTAATAATGAGTTTATATATCTATAGTCTATCTATTTTGAACATAAAAATTGTGGCAAGATATTAAAAAATCATATATTCAAGATAATTGATGCCTCTCATTTTATTACCAGTTTTCAGAATTATTTTAGTTATTGTGATTTCTTTTTTTTTCACTTAGTAAAAGTACTTTATTTTCTTCTTGTATTTGCTTTATATCTTGCTTACAAAGTTATGAAGTTCACAGCTTTTATACCAAAATGTAAGAAGGCTGTTTAGAAATATCTTTGCAGTCAAATGTCACCTGACATTTCTTCTAATCCATATTTAATATTGAAATACAGTAAGAAACCAAGGGGCTGGGCAGCTCTGGGCATCCCCTCCCCTCCCCAAGGCCTTTCCTTCTCCACCCTCTGCCAGCACTGGGCTACTTCTGGGTCCTTGGGGGTTGGAGAAGACAAGGCTATTGTGTGGTAAGTGGTGGGTTATTTACACAAGGTTTCACACACATCTGCATATGAAGAGTGTAACCCTATGCAGGCCCACCACAATTTCCTCTTTCCTACCTATAGGCCACCTCCCTCAAACCCAAGGTTCTCAATGACAGCACAGGAATGAAACCACCCTGTAAGTGTAGCAAGTACAGCCTTATAGTAATTCTAAAACTCTCCTTGAAACAACAGGAACCAATTTGCTAAGTAAGCATATGCAAATTGCAGCTATTTAAACAAACCACAAGTAGGTGTTGTTCAAATCTTCACAATATACTTCAATTTCCTTTTCAATTAATTATCTTCCATAAATTACTGTGTCATTCTTGTAAGTCTACACCTATACCCAGCAACTCAGCAACATGCCATGCACTGAAATTGTCCCATAGATAAATCTACCATAAAAAGACAATACCTTTGTTGGCAACAATCACTTCAATCATGAAAGTATTGGCTTGGATTCTATGTAGTTCATGAATTCAAATTTTCAACTGCTAACTGTCCTGAACAAAACATTTTCTCCATAAAAGCAACAAGTGTAATGCTAAATAATGACTTCTCAAACTTAGGTAATGTCAGGATGACAATTTTTGCTTTTTTTATTTGCACTGTTTACAGTTGAGCAGTGTATGCCAAAATGTGTTTTGAACCTACGTGAAAACTTAAAAAAAAAAACCTGGAAGTGTGGCATTTTATTAAAACTGTCACTGTAAACACAAAAAGATCTTTAAAAAAATTTTTTTTGCTTTGAGCTGCTGGACTAGGCATAAAAAATCCAAAACCATTAAAAACAACCTGCAAGTACTCATAAGAAATTTGGCAGGTCATTTTTCCTTTCTTCATCAAATTTCCAAACAAAAGTCAGCACATACCCGAGTTGCCCCTTCTGAGGGGACCTGGAGGCTGATCATGAATAATAGACACAGTGAACAACTTAAGAAGATTCCACAGTTCTGTCTCCTACAAGCAGCCACTGTTGAGGAGCCAAGAAACTCAGGGTTCTTCATTCTCAGCACAACAGAGATGGCTCAACCTGGAGAACAGTGACCTGATGCCGGAAAACTACTCCAGCCATTCTTG